CATCTAAAGTGATTTAAAAGGGATTGGTAGTCCAGAGAAGGACACCTACCCTGTGTTTTTGCAGCTAGCCACATAAGAAAGCGGTGATTGAGACGCTCTAGGCGGGCCATGTGGGTTACAGCAGCCCCTGACCATATGACGCTGGCATACTCAATCACCGACCGGACGTGGGCGATATAGGCAGTCATCACGGGGCGATGGTCGAACCTAGTTCCGCGCATACATGGTCTGCATGCTCCGAATGAGCAAGCCAAGCATGCGGTTAGCCTTCCTGGTCACCTCGTCAACGTGCTGGGCAAAGGTGAGCTTACTGTCTAAAATCACTCCAAGGTCACGGATATGCTCACAACGCTCAAGTCGCTCACCTCGTTTTCGCACAGCAAAAAAAAAACAAAAAAAAACAAGAAACAAAAACAGAGACACTCTCAAGTGTCAGTCTCCCAGCCATCACTAGGCGTTGCAAAGGGCCCGTTCATTGGTGTCAGTATACAGCTGAAATTATAGAGGCCTACTGCAGGCCCTCTTCTCCGTCTGCGAATCGCGACAGGTCAACCTCTCGCAGAGCTTACCGATCAGCTCCTGCATATCACACCAACGCCGCACCGTGCGAGTCCTACCAGAGGCGACACAGGCCGGCCCTCAGTGTGATGCTGCCGCCCCAAAAAAGTGAAGATGCGGCCTCTCGAAACTTGGAGAGTTGGGTGGCCGATTATCAGCCAATAGCGGTGATTTAAGCAGACTGCGACTGAAACATTACGGGAGCTAGTTAGCTTAAGATGACGGTAGTTATCCCGCGCCCCACGGGGGGGGGCTATTTATAGCCCCCCTTCCGTTTTTCTGCAATAACTTCCAAACCGCTTGACGTATCGACGCCAAACTTTCAGTACCTTCGGCTGCATCAATTTGACACCTTGTGTCAAAATTTGAACTTCGCACCTACCATTGGTCAGCCGGAAATGACGTCAGAGTGACGTCATGTTCGGCCGATTTCGACGCAAAACATTGAACCACGGCAATCGCTCTCAAGAGCTCAGTTTTTAAGCTAGATCCAATTTCTTTGCGCGAGAGGACTCAGCATAGACTGCGCTATCAAACTGCTATCTCGGATTTTCAAAATTTTGAAAATTTCGAAAATTTTATATAATAAAATTCAAAATATATATTTTTACAATTTTTTCGAAAATTTTTTGACTTTTCGAAAAAACCGGAATATGTGTGATAGAACGCATTATTATGACTAACTCTAGCAAGTTTTAGCTAAATATCTTCAAAAATGGCCAAGTTATACGCATTATTGCAAAAAATTAACAATTATTAATTTTTCAAATCAATTTTTCAGCACGAATTTGACATCCTACGCCAATATAAGTAGCACCATCGTGTTCCTGAGCTCAAACTGCATCCATTAGACACCTTTTTTGACCTGAAAGTGACCTGACCTAAGCTAAATTTGACTCAAAATGACCTCGAATGACACAGACGACATCAAATTCGAAATTTTTGGCCTAAATCGACCATAAAACATGTGTCACGTGACCGACGGATGATATAATATTTTCGTGACCTGTGATGACCTGACCTTGACCTGAAAATCAAAGTACAAGTTTGGTACCCTCAGAGTATCTAGAGCATCTGTTCACGAGTGTGTGAACCGAAAATGAGCCTGATCTGACTTGTAAGACGGCGGCCAGAGCCCAAAACGTGAACAAGCCAAAATGCCAATAATTTTTACTTTGACCTGACCTGTGACGTCATCGGTGACCTCGAGGTCAATGACATTAGGTTTCGCTCAACAGTTTTTCCGGGGCTATCAGACGCCGTTTGAATTTTGACGATCGGCCCGGTAGTTTCGGAGTTAGGAGGGGGGGGGGCTATTCATAGCCCCCCCCAGTAGGGCGTGTTATACGCAGACCCCAGTGGGGCGCGGGTTATGAATGCTTCTGCACCTCCAAATTTTGGGCTATCGAAGATCCTGATGCCGCCCCTGCCGAGTTTGCAGTGCCACCCATATCAGGTGAAAAGTGCCGCCCCTAGTCGTATTAACGACCCAGTACGACCCAGTGAAAATCCCTTATAATACGCTCTGGTGCAAGTCGCAAAAAAAGACAGTATGTGCGTGTTTTGTTCTTGTTTGTTGTTTGTTGGGGCTTTAGGGCGTGCCGACTGTTGAGCCGATTAGGGCCAGGGCAGTGCACTGCCGCTACGAAAAAGGTGATGGGGAAGTCACTGCAGTAGCTGCTCTGTCACCCCTGTACAGGGTGTCCCAGAATTACCCGGACATTGTTAATTAGCGTATAAAATAAGGCAAACATGATTGCGCTTTTTTCTTTTTATTGTCCTATATAGTCAACTAGGGTGGCTGTGAAATAGCACATGCAATAGATACGCTTGTTACAAGATCAGCCGACAATGATTGAAAATGCCAGCCATTGCTGGTCTCAGTTGTTTTACGGCTCTCCCGAAACTGGGTGAAGGCCTGTTTTCTTTGACCTGTTGCCGGAGGATAATACGATCATATAAGATAAACTTAACATCAAAGTGTTCCCAGGTCATATGGCATTATCCCCCAAAACAAAAATTGCTGCCTACACCACTTTCGCCGCGTTTTTTACATCTGAAGTGGAGAAGCTCCATGTCTGAACATGGCGGGACCTTTGGCTTCCAACAGATTTGGTTTCCAAAACAAACCCGTTCATGGCCATTTGGTTTACGGCATCCAGTTTTTTTTACTGGTAGAATATTACCGCAGTAGTACTTTGTGCTAACGGCTGTCTTTGGGCCATCATATCAAGCCCAATGAGTGCACGGTGGCTCAAAATGTCTCACAATTTGATTTTCGACGGGTGCCTGGCCGTCTCTGCTGTTTGGGCGTTGTAGCCATCTGACGTTCACACACGCCTTTTTCGGGCGGTTCAAATGACAGAATACCTTTGTTAGACCACAAAGTGTGCTTCAATATATTTTTTTTTGTTGTATATGTTATATTTTGGGGATGAATTGTAGTGATTTTCGCTGCTTTTCCCGTAGTTTTCGCATATTTTTCAGGCGAGGGACCCCAAATTCCAAAATTTTGCGAAGATAGTGGTGGAAAGTAGACTGATGTTCTTTAGATAATCCTGATCTATCGTTTAGCTAGTTTTTAGCTAGATCAGTGACGTTTGTTGTCCGTGACAAGCAACCACCCGTATGACAACTGGTGCATGGCCCTTTTTGGCCGAGCCCAAGCTTGTCAATCAGGGTTATCTCTTGCTCTCTCTGGCTTCGTTGGCTGATATAATTGCGCTTTGCTCAATCCTAACTGCTTGCAGATGAGCTGCTGAAGCTCTCCAGCAAAAACCATGCAGAAAGTCCGTTTACAAAGTTGAAAACGGGAGTTGATTCACCATGGTTGCCTATTACTTGTTGAAGCACTTGCTGTATGTAAGGCATAGGTATAAGTTCTATGAGAAAAACACTTTTAAATGGCCTCCTTACAATGAAATACCGAAAGATGAAATAATGAAATAATTATTGATGATTTCGACCACAGGTCATTATCAAAATATTATAGGGAACATTCTTAAACTTTGTCTTGGCTATAGGACTTAACCTAATAACATATACAGGGTGATTCATAGCCATGTGACCTATTTAGTTGATCTCTCTTGAGAAGAGGATTGCATATTTCCGCGTGAAATTTCACGTGCTAGTAGAAAATTTTATGAAGTTTTGTTCTATCTTGGTCTGGTCTGTGTGTATCGCTCAAGATGTAGACAGCGCAGCAAAAAGTAAAAATGTGTAATTTGTATAGGTTAACGCAGTCCGTCAAGCAAACACAAAGATGTTTCTGCACGTCTGAGGGCTTGCACCCAAGGGAAACTCAAAAGAAGATAACAATTCATAGAATCGTTAATCAATTCAAAGCAGAGGGCACGGTTCAATGATAAACACGGCACAAAAAAAAATTGTTAAGCGAACCCCGGAAAGTTGATTTCAAAGAGCGCTGAGGTCAGGTGTGCGCCACACTCGCCGGAGCTCAACGTCGTGGAATTCTTTCTCTGGGGCTATGCAAAGTCCGAGGTCTATGAGGAGAGTCCCCAGGATATTCTGGGGCTGAAGGATGCCATTGGAAGCTGCGTTGGTTCTATTTCTTTAGAAATGTTATGCGTCCGCGCCATCGCCAACTTTAGGCTCTGGCGCTGGAGTGCATCCGTCGCCGAGGTGGCCATTTTGAACATTTTGTCTAAAACAAGTGTGAGAGTCGAAGGAAAAGTATTTGTGACTGATGCTATACATGGATCAAAACTTCAGATTTGGCTGTTTAATATGGTACTTGGCAATGGCATGTAACACGAATGCATTTCCTGTAGTTTTCATTTATTTTCGGTCACACGGCTATGAATCACCCTGTACTTCATTCGTTAGTTGTAGGAGCATTTTAGGTGAGCTCTATATGCAATGTGTTCACGTGAAATGTTTGAAAATGTGAATTTTTCTGCCGATATTGTGAGCTTCCCGTTGTGTCTGACAAAAGTTCTGTCTGGCTTATTTTCATAATGACCTGTGGTCGAAATCATCAATAATTATTTCATTATTTCATCCTTCGGTATTTCATTGTAAGGAGGCCATTTAAAAGTGTTTTTCTCATGGTTGCCTATTAGCGGCTTAAGCTGAAAACGGAAAAGGACTACTCTTACTTGACTCTGGATAATACTTGACTCGAGTCGTTACCGGTCACCAAAAGCACACAGTCCCCAAGCTCGAGAGCTAAGGTATATCTTATAAAAGTATGATGCTTGTATATCATTAGAATCGAGCGCAACCGTACTTTAAGCCAGAAAATAAATGTCCGGGTAATTCTGGGACACCCTGTAGGCCGGTAAGGAGGGGGCCGGGGCGGCGCATATCCCCCTCCGCCCTATGGTCCGGGGCAGTGGCTGTCCCACCGTCCCTGTAGGCCGGGCGAGGAGGGGACTGGGACAGTATCTGCTCTGCCGGGGCGGCAGAGCAGATACTGTCCCAGTCCCCTCCCGGTGACAGTAGGAGGTAGGCCGGTGACAAGGGGTCCGGGACAGTGCCTGCCCCACCGCCCCTGTAGGCCGCTGAGGAAGGGGGGCCGGGGCGGCGCACATCCCCGGCCGCCGGCCGTCCACCAAGGTCGCGGCCGGCGGCGTGCATCGCTCTCCGGGAGCGGCCCGGCCAGGTATAAAGGCGCCGCGGCCGGCACTGGCGGCATCACTCGACTGCCAGCGTCCGTTCACCGTCCCGGACACGCACCAGCCCCGCTCGCTCATCATGAAGCTGGTGAGTACAGAGCCAGCCGCGCCGCCGCCGAGCCGCGCAGTGCCCCGGTATCTGACGCAGTGGCCGCATCCAAGAGTCGCCGCCTTCGTATAGTCGTCGTCTCAAAGATATAGCACCACTGGAGTCGCTGCAGTCTCGAGTTACCGCTATTTCAGACATCCCGGTCACAACAATATCGGAGTTTAAACTCCAAAATCCAGAGTCATATCATATCATATCAACTCTATCCCAAAGTTGCAACAGCTCCAGAGTCACTTTTTGCACTAAAAGGTATCACAGCATGAAATTGATAAAAATGTTCATAGTGTGAGTCCCTCAGTCGACGACTCCAATAAATACACAGTCTAAGGTTTACAGCATGCGAAAATCCCATGCTAGTCAATTTATCTGCCCTTAGTAACGTTAGTCCGACATCTATCGGCATTTCAATTCCCATAGATGCCTCCGTGACAGCACGTCCATTCGCTCTTGCCCCCGTTATAAAAATCAACTATTGCCCCTACATTTTGGTTCAATTACCCTGAACATCATCTCACCAGGAGCCCATGTGCCCATGTGCCCTATACGTGCCTCATGCTGACACCCCGTCTCCCTGCGCCGGCAGATTGTTCTGTTCTGCCTGGTGGCCGTGGCCCTGGCCCAGGACGAGAAGGATGCCCAGATCATCCGTCAGGACTACCAGCTGAACGAGGACGGCAGCTTCCAGGCCGACCTGGAGACCTCCAACCAGATCGTGGCCACCCGTTCCGGCCAGAGCATCCCCGGCAACGAGCCCGAGACGGGCAGCTACAAGATGAGCGGCGAGTACAGCTACATCGCGCCCGACGGCACCCCCATCCGCGTCACCTGGGAGGCCGACGAGCTCGGCTACCGCGCCCAGTCGGACGTCATCCCCACCGTCTAACTCCGTCCCACTCCGTCCCACCACCCCACACCCTCCCCATCCGTCCCGTCCCAGCCGGGTACCTTGTGATATGTCGTGATACATATGTCGCATCTTTCCCCCGCATTAGCCCGGCGCGCCGGCGGCCGTCTCGGCCAGTGTCGGCGCTCAGTCACTGTTGTTTCCGTGCCAATATACTACCCACATCGTCACTGAGACCGTGTGTTCTGACAGGGTACGGTGGAAAGGGGTGGTTGAGAGAGACTGACCTGCCGAGCGGCGGCAGGCGTCTCCGGTCGGACGAGCGAGCTCGGTGTCCAGAGGTGAAGAGCTGGTCACCCAGTTCACCGCACACTGCCAGCAGAGAGGTCACATGGTCACACGGCGGGTCACAACGCGATACATGGAGGATCACGCCGTGAAACACAGAGAGCACAAGTGAAACAGCACAGAACGAGGACTGAAAATTCGTAATGCATAAATACACACAGCTATACGAGTACATATCCACATAAAGTGCAAGGAAAAATAACAGTTCTTTGAGTATGTGCCTTACAAAACAGGAACTTCCTACCATAAATATTGTATTTTCAACATCACATATCATCTGTCTCATTGGTTTACCTACATTGCGATAGCTTCCAATACCAAAGGCAACAACGCTTTGAGGAAGGTCTCAATTTAGCGAAGGTTAAAACACAACATGAACACAACGTTGCATAAACGTAATGCGCGATGATTCTTCATTCATGTCCTCAGAAAACGTCACATGACAATGCGAGAATAGCTGATGCATTTCACACTTCAAATGACATACGGCACGAATGTATAAACGCCTCGATTGAGGCCAAGGCCGGCGAATCTTCAGTTTTCAAGACCTTCAGTGGAAACAAATTGGGAAACCGTATTAGCATTTCAAAAGCAGACGTCTGCATTCATAAGTGATCGAACAAGGCATATTCGTCCACCGGTGGGTGTGAGGGTGAGATAGGTCCCGGGCCGGGGGGATGGGGGCGCTGGTGGATTTGCTAGTGGATTCAGAGGGAGGTTCAGATTTGGAGTTTAGTTGAGTGGTGGGTTTCGTGAAAGCTCTGGTAATTGGTAGGGCACCACGGTGGGTTCGTTGGAACCTCCGGCTGGGGTTCCGGTAGAGATCGGGTAAGGGGTTCTACAGTGGAGAAGCCCGACCTTCCCAGCCGGGAGCGCTGCCAGCGGCCGAGGGCGCAGACCGGCGCGTACCGTCGTCGGCCGTGGCCCGTTTCCCAGCGGCCGCCGGCGGCAGAGTGCAGCGGCCATGGCCCGTCCTCCGCACGCGCCGTAAGCAGAGCGTGCACGACCCGCCCCGTGACCAGACCGAGCCGAGGGCGACAGCGGGCGGTTCAGGACGCCTCGAGCTACGAGTCTAACACCCCAGCTATACCCGCCGGCAGATGGGCTGGAGGTCACAGCCATCCCTGGGCATCGGTCACGGTTCGAGCAATCCAAACGCCGCGACTTCGGTGTGCGCCTTCACTGTGGTGTGTGACGCACTTCTGACACGCACCGCCCCCGCTCAGCGACCCTGGACTGGGTGCCGAGTCTGACCCCCGTCTGGCCCCGAGGTGCCACGTCGTCAGCGGTGCGCGGCCGCACCGAGCGCCAATCTCGGGACGGAGGGGCGCTCCCAGCGTGCGACTCGCTCGCCGGCCGCGGGGTCACCTAGTCACGGCTGTGACCTCAGAGGTCACAGCAGAGGCGCGGCCGACGCGCCCTGCGGCGCCGCCGCTCACGGCCGCGGCCGAAAACAAATGGATCCCTGACACGCCTACCATCCGAATGGTACGTCTCAGCGAAGGTGAAAACAGCGGACAAAATTAAACTTCCGGCAGAGAAATAACCAATCGTTGAAGCTAAGGCTGACGACTGTTTTTATATTAACTAATAACTGTTATACGCTGTCATAAAGGTACCAGGTATACGAGAGTAGGTAAGCGCTTACTCTTTTTTTCCCTTCATAGTCTCTAGTAATTGTTTCATCGATGATGACTGCACCACAACCTGGCTTATCCTGAGCCACGCCCCTCAGATATCTATCAAATGGTAAACACTAAAGAAAATATCATGTTTGTATTGTCATTCACCTCATCCGGCGGGCCCAAACGCACGAGAACACGGCACAAAACAAAAACCACAACTCACGAACCAGCATTAGCGCCCAAGTTCAAAACACATTTAGTGTTCTCAAAACTATCCAACATCATGATTGGCCGAGCTTCCGAAAAATGAAAAACAATTATACTATAGAAGGTAAACAGCTTTCCAGTCTCTGAAACCAACCAGTTATCCATCTCAAGTTTCACAAAGCTGCTGACAACGATTATGGGCTAACTGTTAAACAAGCAACTAAAGAAGTGCTAAACGAAACTCAAACGTATCGCGCTTATCTCGTCTGGCGTCGGTGGCGCGCTGGCAATGTGGGAGTGGAGGTGAGCGGAGAGAGAGAGAGGGCGAGAGGAGGGCAGAGTGGCGAGTGGTGACCGATGATGCGCCGATGACGCGGCATGACATCCCACGCGCGTCTGCGGAGGTCACGACTGCAGACAATGGTCGAGGAGCGGTCAGCGCCGCCGTCACCGCCGCTGCGGCGCGGCTACCCACGCTCACTCTCGCCCGGCGCACGTCGCGGCGGCGGCGCCGAGCTACCTTTCTTCGGCTCGGGGCGGCTCGGGCGGGGGCGGGGGCGGTGACAGGCCGCCCCCGCCCACCGCCCGGAGTCTGGAACGTTCCGAACGGCAGGCGACTGGGAGTGACGCCTCATGTCGTCAGTGACACGCCACTCACATTCAAGTAACTGACCGAGTACCGCCACTGACCCAGCGTTCACTGAAAGTGAACAGTCGTGAGACGCGAGTGTGAAAACGAGGGTGAACCTTGAACACCCTAGAAGCACTCTTTGTTTTTGCACCTGTCCTTGTTTTGCAACCATGAGTGTCGCTATCATGCCCGGTAAACATGTTTGACACCATTAGGTCAGTAGGTGCGGACGCGCGCTGGAGAGTGGCTGCCAAGGCAGTGTTGCAGCGAGTTGGAGGTCACTCGGAGGCTGCTCCCGGGCTGCGCTCAGACAGATCACCACCCTACTCTCCAGTCTCCCGTCTCACTGCTGTGCAACTACATACGCTTGTGGCCAACACCGAGAGACCCGTGCATTGTAATGCAGGTGACCCTCTGCAAGTGGACAAAACATGAACAGAGCCCCTGCAGAGGCTGCATCGATAAATCAGCAGCCGCCCACGACATGACACGGCCCGGTGCCACTATGGCCTGATGTGCTGGTATCCGGCATCTAGGGACCAGGCATAATAGAAATGTAATAAAAATGCATGATAGAAATGCAGGCGTAGTTTCTTAACTTCTGGCTATGCATACATAACATGAAGCAAAACCCGTTTATTCATTGGTGACACTGGGTACTAAGAAGAAGAGCCAAACAACTAATAATGAATGAAACCATCGCGGGCCTGACGGCCTAGCCACATACGGTAGCCAGCCTCGGTGTAATGTTCAGCTCAGCCGCAGCTCAATCAACTCTCACCGTGCACACCAAAGTATCTGAAGAGCTCGCATCAGAGATGGTCAGTGGTCACGCCTATGGGATGGGAACTTCAGCCGATAAGCTCCACGCCTTGTCTGACTGACACCGGTCCTCACCACGCCGTGCCCACGCCCCCGCCGGTCCTCGCAGATCGTGCCGGGGTGGGGCCCCGACCACCCCCTCAGGTCAGCACCAGGTCGTGCCGGGGAGAGCGAGAGGAGCAGATGACGTAAGTGAACCCTCCCCGAGTGGTGCTCCACCCTGGGGATCGACTGTCGGCGCAGTGCCCACTGAGGAGTGCAGCCTGACGGCGCCGTGGTCCGGCGGAATGGAGAGAGGTATCCCGTGGCCCGCGTGACGCAACGCTGGACAATACTGAGCACTGACAGCCCCCGTTGCACAAGGACCGACCGTGCCCAGCGGAGGAGTCCGGTGCCGTGAACAGAGAGCGGTGCCCCACCCCTCTACAAACTTTACCGCTACCCATACCCGGCAAACCACCGCAACGAAATGGATGTTTCCGCAATCAGTGTGCGCAAATATTTCCACAAGTAAAGTGGGTTCCTTTCACTTAGAGTATCTGCGTGCCATATACGGTGACACCGGTTTAGAGATTGCCACACCTAGGCCAATGTGCTCCATCAAATTGAAAACTAGTCAAACGATTTCCATGTGCAACTCAGATTGGAAAATAGCTGAATATAAATTCTTGGGCGGCTTTTCTCTGACTGATGAGCCCGTGTGGGCGGTGCCGTTTCCCATTGTCAGCCGGTGCGCGGCACTGCCGGTCTGCAGTGTTCTGCCGGTCTCGGCTGTCGGCCGGAGCACCCTCCCCGCCACTGCTCGGATCAGGGGATCACAATGGGCGCGCGCTCAGGCTAAAAAGGCCGGCCGGCCGGGGCGCCCGCCGGTACCGACGCTCCCCTGAGCGGCTCGTCACGGCGGCGCGGCCACCGATGAACCGCGGCGGCCGCGACCGGCGGCGGAACCGACCGCGGACGATCGATTTGCCAGTCTCGACCAGTCATCACCGGCGGCCGGTGGCTTTTGGTTGATGGATCGCCGCCGGCGGGGGAGAGGTCATCCGCCGGGACCGACAGGGGACGCCGAGCCCCTGCTAAAACACTGCGCCGACCGCGCCGCAGGGGCGGAGGCTGATCAGGACGGGGGAGCAGCAGGGGAGTTAATGGGAACAGGCACCGCCGCGAGCCCAGTCACTAGTTCCCAAATGCTAGCGGAACGGGGTCCTGTGAGAGCGTCGCCAACTAGCAGCACCGTTCGTCTAAGACCAGAGAGCTAGAGCCGCGCAGACATTAGAAAAAGCGTTCACGAACTAAACGGAGTAAGCTTGGCATTAGCCCACTCTCGGCCCTGTTTAGGCCGGCGCCGAGGAGGGTCCATCTGTACCCCAGTCACGTGGTCAGATGGTGCGGGTGACCCGTCACCTTACAGGTGCTTGGTGCAGGCCAAGGCCGTTGGCACGCACGTTCACGCATCGTCGGCAGTGGCCCACCGCGACCCGACCGCCGCCGAAACGATCAACGGCTAGGGACTCGTTGGCGACCTTACTAGCTGATCAACAGCTAAAGTAGCCTACCGAGGCAGCATCTAAGCTGAGTCTGACCCAGTGACCCAGCCTTCCACGGAAGTTGGTCTGCAGTAATCCAAAATAGCACAGAATCTGACCAGCATCTGACCTATCTGTATCTAACCAGCAGTGACCCAGTCTCCCACGGCAGTTCAGTGATCCAACCATCCCCGGCAGCTGACCTGCACTAAT